TCTATTGGCATTTTCTTGCATAAATGTTTTTGTAAGTATTCTAAAGATTCCCTTTTCGAGAGGAGTAAAACAAATATCACCCTTGGCAAAAGTAAACGTCAGTTCGAAATTCTTTCATTTATTATCCTTTCCATCACTTTTAAAAATAGTTAAGAGAATGTGCTGTTTTGATGTTTTTAGCTTTAGTATATGGGCTGCGTTTGGCCAAAAGAAACTGAACGTTCTAAACACTGGCCTTATTGATTTCGAAGCAATTATTGATGAGTGTGCAGTTTGCAACCGCGGAAAGGCCTTGGAATTCTGTAGTAAAGCTGACCGCATCAAAATCCATTTTATTTTTAAATTGTGGCTTTGAACTGGTTCATTGGGTATTCATGGTTCTATTTTGAAGATCTGCCGTCAAGTAATTTTATTCCGAAGCGTGGCGAGAATCAGCTTACTTATTTGTTCATAAAAGTGCTGTATATGTCAAGAAAAGAGTATATGAAGAAGAGTAGTTGTCTCTACTTTTTTGTGAGATGCATGTCCTACGGGATGTGCTATTCACTGTAGGACTGTAAATCCATTTCTGTCCGATGTGTGCGTGTGCGAGAGAGAGAGAGAGAGAGAAAGAGAGAGAGAGAGAGAGAGAGAGAGAGAGAGAGAGAGAGAGGGAGAGAGGGAGGGAGGGAGGGAGGGAGGGAGGAAGAGAGAGAGAGAGAGAGAGAGAGAGAGAGAGAGAGAGAGAGAGAGAGAGAGAGAGAGAGAGAGAGAGAGAGAGAGAGAGAGAGAGAGAGACATAAAGAGAGAGAAACATAAAGAGAGAGAAACATAAAGAGAGAGAAACATAGAGAGAGAGAGACATAGAGGGGGGGAGACATAGAGGAGGAGAGATAATAGAGGGGGAGAGAGGGAGAGAGGGAGAGAGGGAGAGAGGGAGAGAGGGAGAGAGGAGAGAGGAGAGAGGAGAGGAGAGAGGAGAGAGGAGAGAGAGAGAGAGAGAGAGAGAGAGAGAGAGAGAGAGAGAGAGAGAGAGAGAGAGAGAGAGAGAGAGAGACATAGAGAGAGAGAGAGAACATAGAGAGAGAGAGAAACATAGAGAGAGAGAGAAACATCGAGAGAGAGAAACATAGAAGAGAGAGAACATAGAGAGAGAGAGAGCCATAGAGGGAGAGAGAGAGCATAGAGGGAGAGAGAGAGAGAGAGAGAGAGAGAGAGAGAGAGAGAGAGAGAGAGAGAGAGAGAGAGAGAGAGAGAGAGAGAGAGAGAGAGAGAGAGAGAGAGAGAGAGAGAGAAAACTATAAAGAGAGAGAAACATAGAGAGAGAGAGACATAGAGGGGGAGAGACATAGAGGGGAGAGAGAGGGAGAGAGGGAGAAGAGAGAAAGGGAGAAAGGGAGAAGGGAGAGGGGAGAGAGGGAGAAGGGTGAGAGGGAGAGAGGAGAGAGGGAGAGAGGAGAGAGAGAAGAGAGAAGAGATAGAGATAGAGATAGAGAGAGAGAGAGAGAGAGAGAGAGAGAGAGAGAGAGAGAGAGAGAGAGAGAGAGAGAGAGAGAGAGAGAGAGAGAGAGAAGAGAAAGAGAGAGAGAGAGAAACATAGAGAGAGAGAGAAACATAGAGAGAGAGAAACATAGAGAGAGAGAGACATAGAAAGAGAGAGACATAGAGGGGGAGAGCCATAGAGGGAGAGAGAGAGAGAGAGAGAGAGAGAGAGAGAGAGAGAGAGAGAGAGAGAGAGAGAGAGAGAGAGAGAGAGAGAGAGAGAGAGAGAGAGAGAGAGAGAGAGAGAGAGAGAGAGAGATTGTATGAATGTTATGCATATATTTGGATTTTCAAGCTTACATTTGAATATTCATACTATTAAAGGATCTCAAACTTTGCAACATTCTGCAGCTGCTACTACGAAATAACCTTCCATTTCATACTAGTTGTCTCTAATTTGCTATTATTGCTCTCTGCGGGTATCTGTTTATGTCAATTTTCTAAGGCTATCTTTCATACTCTTTGAAAGTCGATTCATATCTTTTTTTTTTTTAGGTAAAACATTTAACTCTGACCACAAAAGCACAGAGGTTATTAAGCCTTTTTACAATTCCTATGCAAGAGTGCCATTGGTGCCTCTGAACAGCTCCACGTGAAGCTGTGAGGAATCATGCAAGGAGAAACTCTTATCCTTCGAGGTGGTTGAAGTTGATGACGTTTAATACGTTTAGAAATACCCTTTTGCCTCTAATGAGTCCATGAATCACCTGAAAGTACGTTGATTAGCCCCCCTCCCCCCTCGACCAGGGTTTGACAGCATTTCCCAAGACCAGCAACCCCCTCCTTCCCTCCTACCCCGCCCCCGCCGACGCCCCGTAGCTAGCCCGTGCCCCGACGCCTGTGCACCGACGCCGTGCCCCGACGCCCGTGCCCCGACGCCGTGCCCCGACGCCGTGCCCCGACGCCGTGCCCGACGCCCCCGAGCCCCCGAGGCGCCGCGGTTCGAGCTTCCCGCGCGCGTCGGCCCCGCTCGCGCCGCCGCCATATTGGCCGCCTGTTATGATGGTGGGCGAGGAGGTCGTCGGCGATTAGGGACTGGAATTCAGGATGGCAGTCGACTTCTGCGACTATTTCTGGGTAGGGAGACCTCCGGAGAGTTGGGTGACGCCGTGGGCGGAATGGCACGGGTGGCGAGGGCGCGTGTGAGTGACAGTTGGGGGAAATGGGCGGGCGGGCGGCGGGCTGGTCAGCTGATCCTCCCTCCAGCCCTGACGCGGCCTCGGGACTCGGCCTCGGGACTCGGCCTCGGCGCCCCTGTGGCGGCGAGGCCTGGCGGGAGGGCGGGCGCCCTCGGGGCGGGGGCGGACAGGGCAGGTGACACCGACTCCTGCAGGAGGGAGGCGGTGCTCGACCTGCCCTGCCCTGGCCTGCCCCTGGGCCAGGGCTCGAGGGCGGCCTGGGGGGAAGGGCAGGGGCATGAGGGGCAGGGCGTGCTTGCAGGGGCAGGGGCTGTGCCCGGGCTGCCCTTCTGGAGCGGCGCGAGGGGCGCAAGGGGCGGCAGCCTCTAAGTTCAGGAACAAATTGCCAATTTTCCGCAGGCAAAATAAACACAGAGTCCTGCCTAAGACCAAATGATATGCCATTTTAGCTTCAAAAGCCTTAAGTAAGAGCTGCACAAGTATTAGACAGCGTTCAAAGCACCTTAAAATTTATGATGTTTCTGTCATATATTGAGAGAAGAATTTACGTGATTTAGAAGCGATTGGAGCTCTTGTTGCGTCGAAGAGTCAAGCCATAACACTTATTTTACCTTGCCTGTTATGTTCGGGGCTCTCGGAGGCTTGTGAAATTTTTTATCATTTTGCTGTGACTCGCTTTGACGCCGATGTCGGTTGTTGTCAGTGAAATTTTGTCCCTTTGATTTAAAGAGATTGCTATGTTTGGGGTTTTGGCTTCTTTTGAAAACTTCCCTGAAAATTTATTATGAGAAAAGGAGTCCGTCCTAACCTATTCTTGCAAGAATATAGGTACGGTTTGATTGTTGCCTTTGTTACAGAGCGAACTGTACAGACGCACTTGCCGGAGACTAAGTTTCCAACTCCACCTTCATAAAATTCATTCAACAGTCAAAGTTGCCATGACGGGGCATGTCCTTCGGGGCAGGCTGATGGAGCGCTCTGACCCCCAACAACCCCTGAGAAACATTGTCTTTACCTCGGTGTGTTGGTCCGATAGAGATGAAACTCGGAAGCACCGAGTGGAATTAGGCTGTTGTCGGCACTTTCTGCAATCTTTTTCCTTTGTTTTTTTGGCATTACCTTTCATATCTGCAGATGCATTTCCTGTACCAACTAATACAACTTTTAGCCCTCTATAAAGTAATATCTTCAATTTGGCCGGCCTTAGGGCATCCTTACCGTAAAGATGAACCATTGTAGACAACAACAATTACATGGCTTTGCTGAGTGGTTTATCAGTAATATTCAATATATTATCAGCGGATTGTGAAAGGTTATTTATGAAATGTCTTGAAATCCCATGTAGCAATTCAGTGCTCTCTCTGCTTTGTTGTGTGGCAGTCTGTAAGTGGAATATTACCATTAGAATGCAAAGATCTAGGGTTTCCTCAGTAAATTCATGCTCATCCCTATGCTGATGAAATTAAAGTAGCTATATCTTGTCAGTGCCTGGATTTACCTTTTTACCGCATAAGAGTAATAACCATAAATCCCTGGTCTAAGTGATGTGGTCTGTGTACTACAAGATCTGGCAAAGATATAGATTTCCACCATTTATTCTACCTCTCCAGTGATTTATTATATAAGTAAACAGTCCAAACTCTTCTTGCCTGAATGTGGAGATATGTTGCCCTTGCCAGAGCAGGAATTGTGAAAGATATATTATCACTTGATCCGGTCACACTCTAGATAAATACGGTTTAATTTTAACCTTCCAAAAATAAACCAATTCTCTCTTCCATTTACCATGTCCTTGTTCGAAAAGCTAATTTTAGAAAAGGATTTATATGTCATCAACTGTTGTGTTTGAAATTCCTCAGGCATGCTCAGGCTGCTAGTCTAGTTCCACGAGCAGCTAACGAGATAAGCAGGTTGAATATATTGCTTACTCAAACCTATAGCTACTGGACATTAGCCTGATTGAGCCTGTCTGTTAGTGTTAGGTTAGTGAGATGGTCTCAGTAGTTCTTATCTATTAAATTTGGCCACTGGATAGACAGCCAAAACAATTATTTTAGCTTGCAGTTAAAATCAGACACTGATGGTAGATAAAATAAAAGGCAATGTACAGAAGAATACATGTTTTCATGAAGAAGGCTTATGTAATATGAGAGAGGTTAGAAAAAAAGAAAAGAAAAATTATGATAAAAGGAATATACGAACCCCTGTTTTGCACTTTGCCCATTTTCCATACCTAATTGTTGCGCGAAACAAGACCTCACCCATATATCCAGCATTGCTCACAAGCCACTAACTGATGCGTAAAAGGGTCACATTTAAGCCCTAAGAAAAAAAAAGACC